CCCCCCCCCCCCCCCCCCCAAAAAAAAAAAAAAAACACACACACACACACACATCCTTAGAAGATGCGACCCAGCATATTCAACACATATGCGACTCATCTGACTCATAAGCTAATGAAGAGGTAAACAACATTAAGCCAAGAAAAGTACCATATACCACCAAGTTAGAGCAACTGTCAGTTCTACCTCATATTCCATGACTTCCTCTCGTGCTTCCTTAGATGCAAATAACCGAGCAACATCTTTTGCATTGACTTGCTTTCGGCCGAGATGTTTTGACCTTCTGTTTGGAATCTGTTGTGACCTTTTCTTAGAATCAGAGCCTGGTCCAATGTTAAAATTCCGACCCGCACTATCACTTCTGATGTTCGATGCCATCACATTTTTTTGTGGGAAGGCTGGTTGAGAATCTTGTGAATATAGTTTCATATCCTCTGTCCTTTCAGCTTTCCCTGTATTCATTGCCGCACCTTCCAATGGAACTGAACAAAGTGACTCAACACTGCGTGCATTGGACTCCAACTGATGTTCAGATCCCACAGTACCATCTATTATCATGGGGTAGTAACTTTTTTCAGTGACTATGGATTCAGATTTAAAGGAGCTTGTAGTATTGGGGAGCTTTAACGAAGGCTCATCCTCAGCAGAATCATAGAGTGGGATTTCCTCAACCGTATATCTGCATTCAAATAGGTAGGTTGAATGCTTGCAGAGAAGCTAAATTTCACTAATAATAACAGCTATGAAGAGGATACTTGACCAAGAAAGTTGCTCAAGTATAAAGTGCATTTAAAGGACATAGTTTGCCTGAAGCACAATCCAAGAAACTAGGTTTTATTGTATTCTTAAGTTTAAGACATTGGTGCATTAATAATGCACTACTACGGATTGAAAAGAAAAGGCAACATCAAAGATGCCTCAATTATTTTAAGTACCAATGCTAAGAAAATCAGAAACAAGCGTGCATAACACGTAATATATGAAGAGGGCTCATATCCTATCTTGAAATGTTAGGGTCAGCCAAGGTTCATTTATATGCTGAGGAGCCTCTCCACACATTGCCAATTGATTTGGGTCAGAGTTGAACCTTATGTTTGGTAGCCCCATATGAGGGCCTTGAGTACTCATTTTAACCAATGTACCACAATCCAAATAAGTGCTTACTGTTTTCACACGTCTGAAACATTAATTTTTCATCAAACATGGCAGAATTTCTTCCTATTTCCAGGATAAATAGAAAACGAGGTTCTGGCTTTGCCTTGACTTTCAGCACAAGACAAAACTGAAACATACGCAATATACTCTCCGTATTGCTGAGGGAAGGAAGTAAAAAGGGTAAAAAATTAGGACTGAAAGACCATTTGCCCTATGCTTCCAGATATCTGGAAAACACAAAAGCAACTGTCTAAAACTATGAAACATTTCATGTGCCTAGACAAGTTCCATGAAAAAGGACCATATACCAAAGTGCCGATTCTCGAATTGGTGATCATCTGCAAGTTTTTGGCCTTAATTTTAGCATCTTATGTCCCTTTTTGACCATATACCAAAGGCTGTGTCTTGCTCCATGATTCCTGGAAGCTTTCATATTCGTGGACAGTCCACGATAGAGCAGTAGATTTGAGGAACACAGGTTTCTCTAGACAGTCTCACAAATCACTATGCAGTGAGGTCCTGCTGAACTGCGGATTGTACACTGAAAGCTCAGAAATATGCACAAAAATTAATCCATGATGTCTTGAAGTCACAAGGGATATCAATCTAGTGCCCAGCAAGGTCTGAAAATGGGTAGAGAGATGATGCGTACATGCAACTCCTTACGAAAAAGGACAATGCACAAAACAATTAAACAAAGAAACCAAAATCGGCCACTAAGAAATCTTCTTCGATGTATCAGGCAAGAAACATTGGAAGAACTAAACGAATAGCTATGATCACCTCTCTTGGAAGTGATCCAAATACCGAGTCCTCTATCCCCCTCCCTCTCTTTCCCCTGTTGAACAAAACTTTAATTAAAGAGCATAAGAAAATGCACAAAGGACTATTCATCCTTCTGCAATCCCCCGTGGAGCCAGATGAAGTCACCCTAAGCTTAAGACTTAACGAACAGAAGGTAAAAGTAAACCCTTGAATGGTTCACAGAAAGTGCCACCCTTCTGCTTTTTTCCCAGAAAGGAATGCCACCCTTCTTGTTGAGCTGCCTGTCATCTAATTTGCCATTTTCAGATCCCACTACCACCAAAGCCTTGATAGTCTCTTGAACCAAGCACTAATGCCTCCAAAACCCATGTCAGCTAATATCACTGGTAGCCAGATTTGCATGCCCCTCCACCTAAACATTACAGGACTGCCAACCACAATTCTTCCACTAGGCCCTCTGAGAAACCTGGTATCTGTGGCTACATGGTGTAGCAACTTCCAAGACCTAGAGACTAAAAAAGAAAACCTTGATGTTGATGTTAAAAAAGGTACCCAATACCAAGCTGCTTGACCTACAAGATATGATTTTCCATAAATAACAAACCAATGACCCGTCCATCGTCCATATTCCAAGAACGAACCAATGAACTTTTTTGATGATTAAATCGCGCAGACATACCAAAAAGAACACAAGTAGTTTTCATCCTGTTGGTAATCAACTCTTTGAACTCAAACATCCACATGACACCACAATTCCAGTGAGCATCTTGACAGCTGAACAACTAAAAGAGACCATACACAAAATCTAGAACTGAAAAGAGCATGGTTGAATTTACTGGAAGGAGAGTTTGCATCTCATATTGAATGATTGGGACCACCCCAAAGTCGGTTTGTGTGGTTAGGAGTCAACTTATTGACAATTGATTTTGAATTGGATGCTTTAACATGTTCCCAAAGCCGAGTCTTGGGCAATGAGCCAAGTCTCTTAGTAGTTTGGAATTATCGGTATGTATGCTTGTCTATTTATTTGTTAGCATCATGCAAGTCCAAGTGCCACATGAAGGAGGGTGCAAAGAGACTTTGCATTCTATATCGAATAATTAGCACCAGCCAAAGTTGGTTTATATGGTTAAAAGATCTCTTCATTAATTGTTTATTGGTTTTGAGTTGGATGTCCCAACATATACTCCAATGTGGAGGAGAACGAAAACTCAAGTTTTCACAAATTAAATTGGTCTGATATTGCATAATACCTAAACAATAGACGACAATAACGAATCCTCCTTTACATACTCAAATTAACCAAAATATGAGTAGAATAGGCAGTTGATGCACACAAGATGTTATATATGCCTTGTTTTGCTACTTGACCTAAAAGTTACATGCTAGGAAGCCCAAACACTTCATTTTGATCAGAGTGTCGGTGTCAAACATGTCTGGGACACAGACACGCTACAATGAGAGTCTGGCTTTTTATTGCTAAATTTTTTTCATGACACATTTTGAACACGTTGGGGACACTCAATTGACACACTGGAGGACACAATTTGAAATTTTTTTCAAATTTTTTAAAACTTATCAAATAACTTAATTATTGAGGAAGTTATTTTCGTAAATTTAGAGAGATGTAGGTCAAAGGCATAATATAAAAAGAGTAATAACCACTACATAATCATAGGCAAGGATCAAATTATCGTTTCGAAACAGTCAAAACAACCAAAACGTTTTTATTTCCAAAAAGACCGAAACGAATCAATGATGGAATCGAAATTCTAATACTTCAAGTGTTCCATAATGTTTCAAAATATTTTATTATATTTTAATGCATTTACACAATTATTTCAGAATGTTTCAAGGTATTTCAAGATATTTTGGTATAATTCAACTAATTTTTTGAAAAAATAATTCTTAAATTTTTAATTTTATTTCATTTTGTTTTCGAAACGAGTCAAAACATATTCGAAACATGTCAAAACATTTCCGTTTTCTAGGTAATCGAAACAATACACCAAAACAAAATTTTGATCCTTGATCATAGGACATAAATATAAGATAATGTCAAACACAATAACAAAATTATATATTATTGGAATAAACTTTCTATATGAAAGTAATGCGATGAAAAATGAGGTTATGAAATTACAACTCTTTTAAATTGATGAAAATTAGGGTTACGAAGTGAGATATTTTTTAAAATGAAAATTCTAATAATCATTGATTATTGCATCATAGATGTTTATGATGAATGTGTACCGGTATATGCGATATTGTACTTTTATTAGATCATATCATGACGTATTTGTTAGAATTAAGGAAAGCATAAACTGAATGATTATTAATTATATTATGTATAAATAAATACATAATATTCAACCAGTCCCCCAACATATGCATGTCCTACTTTTTTGAAAAAATTTGTGTCGAAGTGTCCGTGTTCGTGCTTCTCAGATTACATGCTGATCTGGAGGCATATCAATGATAGCATGCTGTCCGTTACAATCCACAAGCATATGAGTGCAAAATATAACAGAAATGAAATGACATACCCATAGCACCAACCTAAACTTTTAGTTAAATATGATCTAGAGTTGCATATATCTTACCTGTCATCACCATCTTCCCATACATGGTTATAGACCTGTTAGCACAAGATAGGGAAAATAGATATTAGAAGAAGTTCATTCTGAATCAAGCCAAGATAAGGTTATACATCTAACAAACCAAGAGAAAGACTAATCTCAGCAAGAATGTAGACAAAAGGAAAACCAAAAAACTTGCAGGAAACCAGCTGTACTCAGCCTAGTGCCACCTCGATTATCCTACTATAAAATAAATAAGTATCCAACTTTGCGTGAAGCAAGATGAAATATTGGCCAGTTGTATCCAACTTGGGATATGAAATTCAAAAAAGCACATCCCATGACTCAATTACATTGTTCCTTGAGGAGTTGGTGATGTAAATATACTTAACAAGTTTACTTCCCTCCTACATTGAACAAGGACACGTATTTTGGCCTTTCCTGGCATTCTATCTATGAAATCTTTTGTGCAAAACATCGCAATTTAGTTATTAAAGGGTTATGTGTCAAACGCTTCATATCCAGTGGACAACTAAAACTATGCCCTTAATAACATTAATTCACATAAGAATGGCTGCAAGAACTTTGCTATCTAGAAACAGTAAAGTCCACCTTCATATTCCCAGCCTAGCATGCTTTCATCAGTAAACTTAGATAGTAACAAATAGATGCTAGGTATGCCAAATATATCTAGCTCAATTCAGTTTGTTTTAGATCCGTAAATGCACTCATACAAGTGCATTGGCGCGCACACGTATCCTTATGAAAAGAAGCTAACAGAGGACAAAAAAATCTCTCCCTCTTCTTGTGAGTTTCCCTTTTTCTAATTATTTCTTCAGCCCCGGCATTCACCCTTTAGTTGCTCAACAAGGTATATATGTTAGAATTGATCAAAAGATAAAAGATCCCAAGAATGCTGAACACCTAAACTGGTAGAAAGCATGTAACTGTACTCTTGTTTTCCCACGTCACAACTTATCACGAGTAATGAGGATTTATGTTTGGGAATATTGCAATAAGAGAGTTAATCAGATGGAAAGGTTCAAAAATATAAAGTGAATAAAATTCAACAGCTAAACTAAAAAGGCATTCGCATGTGCAATCTAAAAGTTTGCAGGCAAGGAATTCCACATATTTCATGGCTTCCATACAGAGAGTGTATACGTGATATCAAGTTACACGGTATCCACGGGTATTCTGCGGATCAACGGGTTGACAAAGGATCCCCGATTTTTGGGGCATCACAATTAGTTGGTGCTTATATTAATGAAAGAGAAACTACGAGAAGAATGAAGTGCCGTGACGAATTGCAAAATATAAATTATTATCGTTCGACTTTATGACGATTCTCAGTATTATGTCTAACCTTTAGTGATGTTTGAACTTTAGGAATTCAAGAAAATTATGGAACAATTACATATTTTTTTTACGGTGGAAACCAATAGATTGATATATCTTCCCCTAGGGTGATTATGATTGTATGAGATAGTATAATATGATTAATTGGAGGTAGATGACAAAATAACCACAAATGGGTGTCAGTTCTAGGAATAAGGATGGGAATTGTGGTTATGCTTCCTAGACGGATTGGAGGTCATTCTATAACCATGTATTTGAGGGTATCTGTCAAGCCCTGAATTTCACAACAGCGTGATTTAAATAAAGCATCAATTTTTATCGAAAATGCTTATCGGTTTATAATGAGATTGAATACCAAAATTTATTTGATTTTAATAAAGCAAGTTTTTTCTGAAAATGAACTAAAGTTTTATTTAAAAATTGAGCATTCAAAACATTGGCTAGAACGACCTATGAGAGCATTATACAAAATAAACTAAATTGAATCAACTATCCACATCATACCAATCATAAACAACTAACTAAGATCCACATCATTCATTCATCACAACATAATCCAATATGAAGCCGGGGTGGCAAATGGAGATTCACGAAATCCTCCCAAACCCAGTATTCTTACAGAAGTTCCATCAACCAAAACTTTAAAACTAAAGCCATAACTTTATATTATAATACCCAAACGAATACCTCTCATGAGGTAATTAAGTTTATAGCACAAAGCAATAATTCTCCCAATAAAAACTCACCTGGAAACCATGAGACTTTGCACCAAGAAATATCGAACAGTTAGCCGCCCCACAAAGACAACGAACAGTAGCACCACCATACCATTCAAAATTATAATCATATGCCAGTTCAGTTCCAACACAAATATCTTGTTTTGCAAATATCCCAACCCTTGTTTCCCCCAACACTGTCCACTTCCTTGTCTCGCAATTGGGTTGGCTGCAACCTCCAAAAAAGATATATTAATGCAAGCTGAAAATAACCAGAGTGACTTAAAGCAAACATCGCATTATTACTTCAAAGATATCTCATTTTTTATCATCTCCCATGTTGTACTTTGGGTGGCTTACCATGAATGGTTAATAAATCTAGCCAGGCTTCCCTTTTGAGTTGCATCAATAAAAGAATTGGCATCAAGAGAAATAATATATGCATCTTTGAGACCTGCACCATGCCACACATCATGTTAGAATTAGCTTTCAGCAAAAGTTGACTGATACACATCTGATGAACCTGTGTTCTACCTTGAGCTTCATAAGTTTCAGACCTTTGCTTTGCTTCTTCCGATGATATCACTTCTCCACAATATTCAATAATGAACTGTCCAACCTGATTATTTAAAAAGGGAACCAAAAACTCACTTGCAAGAGGTCAAGTTAATAGACTGCTAGAGTAAACATAACAAACTATACTATTACTAAAAGTCAATTAGCTTGAAAAAAAATTGATTGACCAATATACCCTTACTAAGTGCGTTAATGATATTTCTTTTTTATCATTTAATGACTAAAAAGGACATAAATAGCCCATCATTTATATCTCTCTCCATAGTTACATATGTGCATATATCTTATGAATTTAAGTATAGTAAAAGAATAAATAAACTATATGTTGACAAATTTGAAGATGCTTGAATCATTATATTACCTTTGATAAGACAACATTGTTGTTCCAAACTAAAATATAGCCTTTTCAATATGTTATTTTACTTAATTATACATATCCTTTATGTTCTTTTTATGGATTTATATCGAAAAATTTATTGAGCTTTGAGACCTAATTTGAGGGCCTATTTCTCAATATCTAAATTTGTTTACATGCAAAGCGTGGTAATTGCAATGTACTATTAGATAGAGGTATCAAGAACTGTCGACATTCTTAGAGGGTCTGATGATTACATAATTAATAATCATTAACAACACAACATTTCATTCTTCACAGTAACTATAAAGCACAAAGAAAACATTAAACGTCAGCGCACACATCAAAAGCACTTTTTCAAAATAACACAATTACGTTGGGTAGAAAGAAGATTTTCCTCCTCGTCAATCAGGAAAAATTTTATGAGGTAAATGTGTAAAATATAAATAGAAGAACTTCCTAGTGATTACCTTTATATTCTCCTCGATTAAAAGACCACAACCACGACCTTCAGTTTTGATCAACTTTGTTCTCACATATTCACATTTCTGAAATCGCTGATAAACAGTGAACAACATGTCAAAACGATATCCCTCTGCTAATAAAAAGAAATCAAATTCCCTGATTCAATAGAATATAGATAGTTATTTCAAATCTCGTACATTTATAAAATTGTGCTTGAAAAATAGGTTATTGTAAAATTCCAAACCGCATACCTTAAGATTTTAAGCCTGGGAATTTTAAGCTATTAGAGAAGACAAAAAGAGAGGACATAAATCTATCGGAACATCCCGCCTCATAGAAAGTTTCTAAATTCAGTGTTACATAAAATACTACAATACCCTCCTAAAAGGGGGTGTTGCCATAGTTCATTGTTCCCCGTAATATTTCCATGTCACTTTCTTCAGATAAAAATGGAAAAGTCATACAATCCCCTTAAAAAGCTCAAAGTACTGGTAGATTATGATATTGTTAGGGTTTGTACGTTAAGAGATAAAGAAGGAAAGGAAAAGACAAGATTAAGAGAAGAGAATAGTGTGTTAGGGTTATTCAGCTACATCACAATTCATATATATAATCATAAAGTACCAAAAATACCCTTAAGAGTTACATCCTAATATAACATAACATAACACTCTCCCTCAAGTTGGTGCATAAATGTCTCTGCCCAACTTGTAAATGATAGGATGAAAAATCTTGCAAATAAGCCCTTTTGTGAAAACATCAGTCAATTGATCTTCTGATTTCACAAATGGAATGCAAATTAAACCCTTCAGCTTTTCTTTAATAAAGTATCAATCAGTCTCAACATGTTTAGTTCTATCATGTTGAACTAGATTGTGTGCAATGTTGATAGCTACTTTATTATCACAGTCTCATAGGCCCATCACCACAAATTCTGAGCTCACTCAATAAGATTTGGAGCCATATAAACTCACAAACTCTATGGGTCATTGCTTTGTATTCAACCTCTACACTAAACCTAACTACCACTACTTATTTTTTACTTCACCATGTGACAACATTTCCTCCTATCAAGGAGCAATAGCCTAAGTAGATCTATGTGATCTACTGAACCTGCCCAAGTTACATCAGAACACTTCTAATTTCAAATGACTATTATTAGAAAAAAAGATCCCTTTCCTTGAGGCTAACTTGAGATCTCTCAAAATATGATGAACAGTTTCAAGATAAGAGGCTCAAGGATCATGCATGAATTGACTTACAATCCCCACTGCATAAGAGGCTCAAGGATCATGCATGAATTGACTTACAATCCCCACTGCATAAGCAATACCAGCTAAGTATGAGAAAGATATATCAATCTCCCTATTATCTCTGGTATCTCTCTTTATCCACAACATAACCAACATCACTCACCAACTTATGGTCGACTTCAATACAAGAATAAGTAGGTCTACATCCTAACATACCAATTTCTTCAAGGAGGTCAAGAACATATATCCTCTGAGAAATAAAAATATCTTTGTTTGGCAACATCAATCCCAAAAAAATATCTCAATGGACCTAAGACTTTTATTTCAAACTCCCTAACTAATTGAACTTTCAGTTTGGTGATTTTATGAACATCATTTCTAATTATTATAATGTCATCTACATATACAATGAGGACTTTTATTTTGTCATCTACCGGCCCGATGAACATAGTATGATTAGCATGACTCTGATTATATCCAAATTTCAACATGCTTTGAAAAACCTATCAAACCAGACTCTAGGTGATTGCTTTAATCTATAAAGTGACTTCTTCAACTTACACACATTTCATTCAGTTACTTGTGATGAAAAACTAGGTGGAATCTCTTTATATACCTCCTCCTCCAATCCCCTTGGAGAAAGGCATTCTTAACATCCAATTGTCATAGACTCAATCCCAAATTAGATCCACATGAGAGGAGGGCATGTATGCAGTTCATCTTTGCTACAGGGGCAAAAGTCTTCTGATAATCAGAATCATATGTCTGAGTAAATCTCCTTGCAACCAGTCTTGTTTTGTACCTCTCATCTAAACCATTTGTTTTTGGTCTGACTTTGAACACCCATTTGCACCCAACCGCTCTTGCTGCAACAGGAAGTGGAACTAATTCCCATGTGTCATTCTTTTTTAGGGCTCTCATTTCCTCTACCATAACTTCTCGTCACTTTGAAAAAGTGAGAGTTTCCTTCCAACCCTGAGAAACAAATGTACGATAAGATGGAGACAAGAAACCATAAGAAACAAAGCTAGAGATGGGGCGCTAAGTACAAGCTCGAACACCTTTTCTATCTGCAATAGGAAGCTCAGAATCATCAACAATTAGATTATTAATAACCTGGGTAACAACCAAAAGCACATTATATGGTAAATCAGTAGGAGATGCTAGAACTGGAGCGGAAGAATTCAACTGACTCGGTTGCAAAGGGGGTACCTTTTGATGTCGAGAGTAAGTCTTCAGAGTACCAAATGAATCATTGGTAATAACAATTTGTTACTCCCTTTGACTAGTAGTCCACTGGAAAGGCAATTGAAGAAAGAGCTCCTAACATACCATCTCTTTCTTAATAGTAGTGTTCTCCCCCAGAAGAGATGATTGGGAGGAGAGAAAAAAGACCAACATTGCTTTGGTATCTTTCGACTCTATTTTCTTTTGGTGATTTGAATCGGATACCGACTCATGAAAAGTAACATTCATGCTAACATACATCTTCTAAGACAGTGGATGGTAGCACTTATAACCCTTTTAAGTGGGAGAATAACCAACAAAGACACACTGCAGAGTCTTAGGATCAAGTTTTTCCTTGGATGCTCTACAATCATGCCAAAAAACTTTAAGAAGAAGAAAAGAAAGAGAAGAAATTGGTAAAATCCCAAAAAATACTCAATAGGAGACTTAAAATGTAGGGCACTAGAAGGTAGACGAGTAATGAGATAAGCAACGGTAAAAACTACGTCTCCTCAAAAATGTTAAGGAACATTCATAGGAAGTATCAGTGAACGAGCAACCTCAAGAAGATGGCAACAACACAATTTTATTCTGGGGTACTCACACAAATGGTTTGATAAAATATGTCACTCTCATTGAGATAAGAGAAAAAAATTTCATCAATGTACTCAGTTCCATTGTCACTACGCAAGACTTTGATTTTGGCATCAAATTGGGTACCAACCATTTTATGAAAAAAATGGAAGCCAGGAAAAACTTCACCTCTAGTGCGTAGTAAATAAACTCAAGTAAGATGAGAATAACAATCAATAAAAGTGATAAACCAATGATAACATGAAATAGAGGCAACATGAGAAGCTCCCCACACATCAAAATGAATGATAATAAAAAGAGCAGTGCTTTTATTATTAGTACTAGGATAAAAAGAACCTTTGTACTTGATAAATTCACAAGCATCACAAACAAAAGATTATTTTTTACACTGCTTTATTAGACTAGGAAAAATATGCTCTAAATTACTAAATGAGGTATGTCCCAAACATATGTGTCACTGATGTAAGATCCAAAAGGGCGAAACTAGAGTTATCAAAACCGGACCGATTCAACCATAACCCGGGACCTAAAACAGTCCAGTTCTCTAGTTACACCGCATAAGGAATCGAACCGCATGAGAACCACTAAACTGGCCGATTTTGTACCAAACATGTGAATCAGACAGTTGGAATTTCAATTCTTATAAAAAAAATCCCCTTTTTTTTTTGGTCATTTTGCCCTAAATCAATCGCAAAATGCAGACCAATTCGTAGCCGCACTTCACACTTTAGTTTAGTGCCCACTCTAGTGATGAACAACAGCTCAAGGAGGCGACCACTCACCGACTACTCCTTTGCTCGAAGCTCGATCTCTCTCACTCACTCAATCTCTCTAACTCAGGCAACAAGCAACTTCAATCAAGCCTTCAACACTTCAACTCGATTGATCTGACTTTCCTTTCCTCCCTTTTCCTTGCTTCTGTAATGGTAAGGTAAGTGTGTAAGTGCGGCTGAGGCGTAGAGTTCACAGCCTTGTAGTTTTGACACATGAACCAACTCAACTCTAGGTTTCTTTCCCTAGTTCCATTTATGACAAACTTGGCCCAAATAGAAGTAGGCATTTAACAATGAAAAGCAAATATAGGCCCAGTTACAACCTGTGGGCTTCTTACCTTAGTGGGCCTTGGAAGTTGGATCGGAGCTTTAAAGTTAAACTTTGATATTTGGCACAGGTGTTTCTTTTCCTTCATTAATTTTATGACAAATTACATGCATTGTGGACATATTTCATATTTTTCAACTAAATTATTACATGTTGTAATAATTATAATATTTATTATTTTTTTATTATATGACAAGTCCGACTAATTGATCCAACGGTTAAATAAGTGAACCATTAATCCTGTTTCCTTGCCAGTTCGATGACCGATCCGATTCTAGTAACATTGGACAAAATATGATTTGCCTGAAAAGCTTGACAAGTGGACTGAGAGGAAGCTTCATCATCCAGGAGATATAGACAACCATGTGTTCTACCACACTATCACTACCAATTATTTTTTCTGATTCCAGTACTTGAAAAATACAATGAGTAGGAAAAAAAATCAACGAATAATTCAAGAGTTAAATAATACTACTAACAGAAAATAAGTTAGTAGAGACATTGGGAACATGGAGGACAAAAGAGATGGATAAGATGGGTGAGCAGTTAATTGAACCTTTTCGAAAATGGAGAATGAGGATTCATCAGTTACCTTGAGTTTATCCCTACCTAAACATGTAGAGTATGAAAAGAAAAGACTAGAAGAACCTATCATGTGGTCCATGACTCCAGAATCTATTATCCAATGAGCATATAAGGATGATATAGTTAACACACTAGATATACCGGTGCGAACAAAGTTGGAGGAAGGGTCACACACTAGATATACCAGTGCAAACAAAGTTGGAGGAAGGGTCACGATTAGGAGCTAAAGTAGAAGAAATATCAAGTCGAGCCATCAAACGCCAAGAGTCAGCACCTTGTCCTGAGAAAAGGTAGGAGTAGTGCCCCTAGATTGAGATGAAGTCTCTGCAGATTCAATTATATGTGCATGAGAT